ATAATTTAAACATATACAAGAACAACAAGGGAGTGAGAAACATCTCATTCAGTTTCAGGTGCAGAAATAAAGGTTAGATAGCACACATAACAATCATAAGTCATAAATAATACCCATACATGATCAGTATCACATATACACTCATTTATCATGCTATGATGTCATGGACTCGACTCATAAATGCATGCATGTGGCGCCATACGAAAGTTTCACATTTTATCACTGGTGACCCTAAGGTACACCTGGTTACATCACTGGTGACTCTAAGGTACAACTTGTTAGCTTGTTACATCACTAGTGACCCTAAGGTATGTAACAACCCAATTTTCATAGAATGTACGAGGGCCCAAAATCCCAATGAGGGTAATTTAGTAATTCACAGGGGTGTTTGAGTAGCCCAGAATGGGCCGTTCCAAGTTACTAAAATGAAGGTGATTTAGTGTCTCGGAACGGGTCGTTCTGAAAATGGAACGGGCCGTTCCAAACCATCAAAATTGCCTATGATTTTGAGTTGGGAACGGGTCGTTCCCAACTGGAATAGGCCATTCCAGATTTTAGAAATGACCTTTAAACCTTATTGGGAACGGACCGTTCTGGTTTCAAAACGGGTCGTTCCAAAATATGACCGTTGAGAGTTTTTAATGCACCCCAAAACAGATCGTTCTAGTTTAAGAACAGGCCATTCTGGATGTGAATTTTACACATGACGTGTAATTTAAGAACGGGCCGTTCCGGATTTAAAACGGGCCGTTTTGCGAATCCTGATGCCTATAAATTGAGTGCTCTGACACTCCTAAAATCATATTTTTCAGTTCTGACTTCTTTCAGTTCTGACTTCTTTCTTCTACATTCTCTTCTTTCCCTTCTACACTCTCTAAAGATTGAGGGGCACTTAGAGGAGGAGACCAAGAGATCTTTGTTGTTTCAACTGCTGTTTATCCAGGTACGGGGGAAAAAGGAATTATTTATGTGTAGAGTTACATGAGGGAATTGGGTAGAGGAAGAGTCCCTTAAGATCATGAGTAATTTTATAATTATTTCTTTTTGAGGAATTGTTGATCCCATTAGATTTTACATGTATTGAGGATTAGAAATATATATTTAATTTGTAAGAATGATGATCTGGGAGAGAGAATGAAATTATTGAAAAGTGCCTGTGAGTTAGGTTTTGAAATAATTGGGGGTTCTACCGTTATGTTAAGATTATATTAAATTGGTATCTATTTATTATTATATTAATTTATGAATGTTATTCTTATATTATTTGATAAAATTGATGATTTAAGTGAGGATTCATGGTGAATTACTTGAGGGTTATGTGAACCACCATTTTGTGTGAATTGTGTATGTATTGTGGAATTGAGATGTGGATGTTGATGTGGATGTGGATGTGGATGTGGATGTGGATTTATATTATACTAAAGTTTACTATTAGCGACAATTATTTATTAAAAAAAACTTAAGTCCAACATCAATAAGAGATAAGATAATTAACTAGTATATAAGTGAGTAATAACTATCACCTTACAGGTTCATTTTATAGGATTGACTCCTAATTCACTATTCTAAATTGGTATCAATTCACCCACAACCATGGCCAACATTAGTACCTTGACTAGCTCTTTATAAATCTTGATTAAAGTGAGAGTGGATTGGATTACCTATTGTTAAAAATTTGTCCATGTATTCCTAGAATACTTCATATGCATGTACTTTATGTGAAATGAGATGATACCACATGTATATAGAGGTTAAAAACATATGAGTCCATGAGTCTTATGTGTTGAATATGTGATTAAAATTGTAATTATATGTTCTTTATACATGTGTGAGATTTATTCTCACTCCTCTATGTATTTGTTGTGTTTATTATTTTTGGCTAAATGCCAATTTCAAGTGCATATCTCTCTCTCTCTCTTTCACATACACACACACACACACACACACACATATATATATATTGAACATACGCATCGTTTAATCCTTTCTTTTTATTAATGTTATTAATAAATTACTAGGAGAGATGTATGTAAATGAATGACTATGAAATGCAAAGGCAATTGAAAGATTTCATAGATTTAAAAAATTCGATTTATTCAACTGCCCTTGCACTCCCCTAGATCTCTCCATGATCTAAATAAGAATGCATGATATGAGATGATGGCGTTTGAATATGCATGCATTGTGTTTATTCAACTAAGCATTATCATGTTTTTAGGATGTTCCTAAGATGATGCATGATATTGCTTGGTTTGGATAAATAACCTCCTTTTTTTAGGTATTTTGTTTTTTTTGTATATTTTTTTTTAGGTGAAAAGGGAAACTACCTATATGAATGTGATGAAGGTAGATGTTAACACCGTGTAATGGAAGATTCTTATTCCTATTTATTCTTATTTTAAAAAGGGAATGTTGTATGTTTAAAGAATGCAATGTATGATTTTATTTTGATGGAACTACTCTTTTCAATGTGACATTAGAGTTTAGAAAAGTGATTCCCATGCTTAGTTTAGTTGTGTTTACCTCGTGTTGGACATCAATCTTTTGAAAGTTTTTATTATTATTATTATTATTATTATATTTTTATATTTATCGTTTTACTCTAGAACTTGTAAAAGTTATTCTAATGCCTAAACATATTTTATTTTGAAACTTATTTTAGTATTTAATTAAATATTTTTATATAAAAAAATACGATGTGAATCATTTCATGCACGAGTTCGAGTTTTATTACTTATAAATTATCTTATTTTATGATTATATTGTATTAATTAAAAGTTTTTTTTTTCAGAAGAAGAGTGTCACATTATTTATGACAAATTATTATATATAACATTTTTTGATAGATTTTTCCCTTTATAATTTATTTTTAAAATTTTAAAGGTTATAGATGATTTCATTTGTATTGAAATAATTTTATTGGATTTGTCCTTATATTGATTTGATTATAATTTGACTTTTTCCTTAGATATATGACAATTTTAATTGTAATATTTTAATTTAAAGGTTTAGATTCAGCTTCTTCATTCTTAAATACTAATGATATTCTCACAGTACCATACCACCTCAATTCTTACTACCGTCAATGTTTTCATTGTTGCTACCACCATTATGCTACCATCACTATTGAATATTCAAAAATATTTTTTAAATTATTAAATATTATCTAATATTAATTTTAAAATTATTAAATATTTAAAAATTAGCTAATATTTATTTTATAAAATTTAATTTAAAAATTTCAACATAAAAACATATTTTTTAAATCAAATTTACCATGATAGAATCAAATTATCATATCTAACTTAACAATTTAAAATTTAAGAAATTTGAATTGACTTATCCAAACAAAATATTTTAATAATGATAGAAACTAAAATTAAAGTAATTAAAATACTAAGAATTTAAAGTTCTTTGAATAATTTGTTTGACGTGATGGAGAGAGAGCAAATGAGAGAGAGTTCATGAGAATGGACCTTGGTGAGTTCGAGAAGGAGAAGAGATTCGTGATCGGGATCGAAGAGGATTTTAGAGGACTTTCTAATATCAAAGGGTGTTGAGAGCACTTATGGCAAGCATAAGTCAACGTTTGATCATGGATATGGTGGGCACACTACGTACTTCTTTACAAACTACCCAGAAGAGTACGATTCGGAAGCACACTATGGAAAGTGTTCACTATGTGGGGTGGAAGAGTATGTGATGTAGATGTAGCGCACAAAAGAGATAAGAGGGGTAATCGGTTTGGGTTTGTTAGATTTAATGATAATGAAGACCCTGTGGCTAAGGAGAATAGATTAAGGAGGATTTGGATTGGTTCGTATAAACTTAGAGTGAATGTGTCCAAATTTTTTGGAATCAATGGCCAAGTTGGATACAAGGAGAATGATAAGGGAGAGGTACAAAAGTTAAATCATAGACAGGAGGATAACATAGGAGGTGTGGTGAAAGGGAAATCTTTTGTGGATGTTGTAAGAGGAACTTGTAAACTTGTGTGGCAACCAAAGCTTTCTCCAAATACAGATCATTGGAATGGATTAGAGTTCAACGTTGATGATAAAGACATGTCATGGTTGGCTAATTCATTTGTGGGTCAAGTGTTACAAGTTGATGAGGTCTTTTTGTTGCAAGATAAAATCTTGGTAGAAGGTATCCATACAATTACGGTAACTCCGATAGGGGGGATATGGTTTTAATAAGGCCACATGCAGAAGAAGATTTAATGGTACCATTGAAAGAATTACGGGATAAGTTTTTGCAGTGGCTTGTTAATATTCGACCATGGAGTTATGGGGACGTTGCTCATGATGAGAGACTTGTTTGGGTTCACTGTGAAGGTGTGCTGCTACATGCATGGTCCGAGGAATTTTTCAGTATGATTGCCACTCTTTTTGGAAGATACATTTGCATTGACTCGGCTACAAAGAAAAAGGAAAGGTTGGGTGTAGCGCAAGTTTTTATTCAAACAACTTCTCTAGAGATCGTTAACATACAACAATTTTTATATTAGACAATGCCTAAAAAATGTTCTCGAAATATGAAATAGGCAACATTTTTGTAAACTGTTGACACTTTGTTTGACAACAATCATAAAAACCATTCCCAAAAGCACATATAGGCAACACTTGATCAAAGCGTGCACTATTCTTTATTCAATATTTAAAAAATTGTTCTTGAAATATGAAACAAGCAACAAATTTCTAATTGTGGCCACTTCTCTGCCCCAATAATTTAAACACCGTTCTTAAAATTGATATTAGGCAACAATTTATAAATTATTGCTTATTTTATATCATGCAACATAATAAAAAATGTTCCCAAAATATATTATTAACCATGTTTATTATTTAAATGGGAAGTTTATTTCTTTGTAGTTAATAGGCAACACTTGTAAACATTGCTTAATGATTATATATATCCGCCTTTTTTTATTCGCGGGAAATATTAATTAAAAAAAATTAAACTTCTCCCTCTCTTTAATTCTCAAAATCACAAGAATTAGAATCCCTAAAATTTTCTCATTACGTATGCTTGCTTCTCTCTGTGCATTCCTCTGTACGTTCCTCTCTGCATCTTTCTCATCACGTTCCTCTCTGTGCGTTCCTCTTTGTGCGATCTCAGGTATGATTCTCACCTTTTATTTGTTTCTCTACGTGCGTGATTGTTGTTCTCGTTATCACTCTCATTCCGTGAGGCTGTAGATTATGTGATGTTGTGCATTGAGTGTGTTGGCATTCACAAGTGTACGTGTGCGTTTACGATTATAGGTCTATGGCTGTATGGGTTATAGGTTCGGTGCAATTATGGATTATGGGTTCCGTTTAGGTATGTGAGAGGGTTCCGTATCACTCATTGTGTATCCTAGTTCTTTGGCTACTTATGTAATTATAGAATTAGGACTCTGTAACTGATAGAACACCAGGAACAAAAACTATTGTGAGTGTTATTCAATTCCAGAAAGGTACTAAGCCAAAGCTCTTGCAAAAGAGATAACCGAGCCCTTGGCTACTTGCAGAAAACTCTTCTCTGTCAAACTGATTACCCAAGCATGCTTTTGTCATACACTTCTCCCAATATTCCTGTTAATTTACTAACCAATTTGTCTAGTCAGCATAAGAAATTCCCCACCATTCTTCCCTTTTGTTACCTTTTGGAATGAAACCCAAATCATAGGCTTCCTTATCCATTGTGCGTAAATCCAACAATTGGTCCAATTCCTGTTTAGGCCTGGAACTCAGTATGTTGAAGTAGATACAATCAAAATCTCAAGTTTTTGAATTAACCAGTTAAGTATCGTTAGTAAAATAAATAGCATTTTTTATACTTATTATTTGATCTGGTGCATGTGAATCAATTGTGTGCAAATTTCCTGTATTTGAAAGACTCACTACTATGAGAAAAACTTGATTTGAAAATTCTGAGGTTTCCCTTGTGTTTGAAATTGGTATTAACAAATGTGTAAATGTATGATTGAAAATGGAATGAAAATTGCAGTGACATGGAAATAGATTTTGGATCTAAAGAGAATGCTTCTATTGTATTTTCTGCCTTAGTCGTTGACAAAGAGGTGATTGTCAGAATTTTGGTCTTGAGTGATACGGTTATGGTAGATGAAATAATTCATTAATTGTTTCAAGTTTTGGCTGGAATCTTTTTTTTGTTATTTTTTTTAGCAAATAACAATTATATACTACATTCAATATTAATGGTCCATTGCATGAGTATCAATCCCCAAACCACTAACATGTCTGTGAAACAAATAGGTTTCTTACTCGTTATCTTTATATAATGATATATTAATGTACCCTGGTCCATTGCATGCTAATATATAATGCTGTAAATTTTGAAAATAAATGTTTGTCCTTGCCAATAGATTCTATCCTAGACAATGGTGCACCTTGGGGAAGGATAGGAGTATCTGAAGAAAAACTACAACCAGCACAGAAACCAGTTTGCAGAATCTGGTTTAATAGAGAATCGGAGCAGAAATAGATAGGAGGGCAAAAAGAAAGTTCAGGTGAAGGAAACATGTCTGAATTCTTAATGATTCCCAAATATAAAAACTGGTACTTCATGTCAAACTATAAAATTTTAAAATTTTAATTATGAATAGCTTAGTGTCTTAGTTTTCTAACCAAATAACCCCATTCTATTTGGAGATCTACAACTCAAGATATGCAGTAGTTACTGTTTGGTGTCTAAGAGAGGATGTGTACTCTATTACAGCAAGGATTGACCTATTTTAAAATAAAAACTGGTACTACATGTCTGTTAGAGCTACTCGTAAAACAGGCAAAATCGAAAGATACCCTTATGATGCTACTCGAGAGGAAGATAAAAAATCAATACATCTGGAATGTATGAGTCTTATTTATTCATGCTTGAGGTATGGTCGAAAAATTGGGCAAATCGAACAAATATTGCTCGAAAAAGTGACGAGAGGTTGGTGGAAGTTAGTGACAGTTAGAACGCACCAGAATGGATACTATGGGTTGAATCAAGAAATAAGAGAAGTGGGACGAGTGGTTACGAGAAGTTATATTTTAATCCCACGTGATGAACTTAGTGGATAGCGGTTATGCTTCAATAATGCACATGCATAATAGTAACCGCCCGTGATTGGCCCTATAAATATGAGTAATATATCGATGTACGGGGGTCGGAAAACTCATACTAAAACTGAACTTTCAAGCACTCTCCGCCTGCGCATATGGCTTTCGTGCAAGGAATTATTTTTTGGTATGATTACTTCTCGGCCATTTTTCTTTTCTCTTTGTAGGAGTAGGATTAGTGTAGTTTTCTCCTGTTAATCACATAGTGTAGTTGCGTAGTTGAATTGACATGCTTCAATGTGTAAATTGTAACTTCATGCAAATTGAACCATGATTTGTATCACTAATATATCCATTGTTCATTCTGTTTATCTGAGTATCTATATGCATGAAAGTTATTACTTGTTAATTATTAACGAATACTTAGAAACAAGTAATTATTAATTTCTCTACTCCTTCCTTTCTCATTCCGTAAAATTAAACGCATTAAATACCTAAATTGAAACGCTTATCGTGCTAGTTCGAATAAAAAGAATCCGTAAACGAATTCTACCGTAAACAAATTGGCACGCCTAGTGGGACATGTTTAATTGCAAGCATAATTAGACTAGTTTTAGGTATGCATGTTGTATGAGACTTAGGAGTGGAAGAACCATGTCTACATCTAATAATCAGAGAGAAACAAACAATAATAATCATATAGATGTAGAACAAGCAAATCCCAACCCTGATAATGTGACTAACGTGACCAGGGGGCAGCATCTTCCCCTATGTTACTCGAAAATGTGGCTAGGCAAACTAATGTGACTCAGGAATTAGCAAATGTCACTAGGGAATATCTTTGGGGTATGCCACCAAATTGGCGAAGTACCCAACCTATAGATGTCGAAATGCCAGTACCATACTTAGGACCAAATCCACAAATGCACGTATCCCCACATGGGTATATTCCTGGACCAAATGGTTTGGGTTTTATTATGCAAGACCCATATCAACATGTAGGGACAAGTCAGGAAGGTTCTCTGATTCGACAGGGTAGTTATGTACCCAATGATATTAGTAATCAAGCCATGATGGCTCTTCAACAATAGATGGACCATAGTAATCATGACATCGTTAATTTGTTGTAAACCCAAATGCATAATATAATGACTCCCTTGTATGAATTAATAAACAAAATAGGAGATAAATTGGGTGATGGATCACTTTCGAGAGCCATGAGTACAAATTCGAACGAGATGGAAAATATAGGTGGGAATAGGATTTTTCATCAAAACGCAATTCGACCTAACAGAGATCCCCATGATAATTTAGATCAAGTAGTAGAACGGATACTAAACCGGCATGGTTTTGATGTAGGTCGAAATGAACGTCCTTATTTTGTGTCGGCCTTCCCAGATCACGTAACTCAGGTAGAACTCCCTAGGGTGATAAAAGTCCCAAAGTTTTTGAAATTTGCTAGAGAATTAACTGAGTCTACAGTCGAACATATAGCTAGGTATTTAGTCGAATGTGGGGATTTAGTGAACAATGAATATTTAAAGATGAAGTATTTTCCGAGTTCGCTGACTAAGCACGCTTTTACATGGTTCACAACCTTACCCCCTAATTCGATAAACACTTGGGTTCAGTTGGAGGGTAGTTTTCATGAACATTTCTTTAGAGAAGATATGAAGGTTAGTATAGTTGATCTAATGAATGTTAAGAGACAAAGCAATGAAACTTTAGATGACTATCTAAATAGGTTCAGGCAATTAAAATCTCGATGTTATACTAATATACCTGAACATGAGTTAGTTAGGATTGCAGCAACAGGGTTAGATTTCTCGATACATAAAAAATTGGTAAGTGAATAGTTGAGAGATATGGCCCAGTTAGCAGAAAATGTAAGAAGGATAAACAAATTAAGTTAGAAAAGGAAAAGTTAAGAAAGTTCGATAGGTTTGTTCGGAAAGAAAAAGTAGACTATTTAGAAAATGCCGAGATGAGTGAGGATACTAATTATGATATTTGGAGTGATGATTTTGAGGTTAACTTAGCAGAGTTGCGCCCTGGACTAACTTATCAATGTCAAATGTTAAAACTAGGGGACAATATAGAAGGGAGCTCGACTAGGAGATAAAGTTTTGATGTTACGAAGGCAGATAAAATATTTGATATTTTATTAAAAGATAAACAAATCGTACTCCCAGAAAACCATAAAATTCTGCCATTCCAACAAAGAAAAGGGAAGAAATTTTGTAATTATCATAATATGTATGGCCATTGGACTAATAACTGTGTGCGTTTCAGGGATATGATCGAAAAATCGATTACTAATGGTCGCCTTGCTTTCGAGGAAAAGGACATGAAAGTGGACACGGATCCATTTTCTGCTCACACTGGTTATGTGGAACCAGTCTCGATGGCCGTCAATATGGTTGAAGTTAATGTCGAGGACGATGAAAACATTGAGCCTATTTCAGATGAGAAACTTGAAGAATTGATGGACGATTTCGCTAAAGAAGAAGAACCTATCTACCCAAAAGAGGGAGATAGTTTGGTTGAGTTTCTGTCGAAGAAAAAAGAGGTTGATAGGGAGGTTATGTTGTGTCCTCGATGCAGTGTTGTCTTCGATAGAGTTGCTGCTAAGGCTTTTGAGGAGTCAGAAATGATGAGGAGCTATAAAGCCGAGAAGTTTCGAGAAAAGTCTAAGCTTAATGCTGGATCGAGTGATGGGTTAACCATGAGGCAGGTTCACATGCCTCAGTATAATGCTCCGGTGGGAAAGATGGAAATGTATAATTCATCGAGATTCGACAATACTTTTGTGCCGAAAGCAAACGTTCCTGTAGGAAAATGGACTGCCCCACCAAGGCCAGTGATTGGTGGAATGGGTCAAGGAAAACAAGTGATGAATTATGTTGGACATCCAGTGCAAGGAACTCCCAGAAAATTCTCAAATATAGCTGCAGGGCCTGGTAGATTCTCGACTTGAAGTTATGGGCACGATTTTCGACAGCCTTTTAATAACTTAACTAAAACTTAGTGGAGGAGACAACAAAGGATGCGAAAGGCTACATTTAAAGGGTTTAGAGGGAACCGGTTTTCGATTCCTGTACCTCAAAAAGGGGAATCCTCTCGAAAATTCATTGAAGACGATGAGGATTTGATAACTGATTATTTCGAGAGTGGTTTCGATGATTCCTTGGAAGACATCTGTGGGATAGTGTCAATTCTGCCTTCCGAGTATGCTGGAGCCATGGAATATGTGAACGAACAAGAGGATATTCATCGAGAAGATTTCTTCGATGATTCCTAATTATGAGTCCAAGATCGTGTGGGTTAATCAAATGTCGAGGGTTATCCCAAAATTTAATTCAGCTGTCTTCGATTCCCCTACCGAAGAGATGAAAGGTCACCTTAAACCTTTATTACTAACTTTGATGATAGAAGGGCACGAGGTAAATAAGGTGTTGGTTGACGGAGGTGCAGTTGTGAATATCCTGCCCAGGACAATGCTGAAGAGGTTTGGGAAGTCCATGGCTGATTTGAAGCCTCATAATATATTGATCTCAGACTATGCAGGAAAGTCTTCACATCCTGAGGGTATGATTCTGCTTGATGTTCAGATTGGAAGCGTGAAGAGAACTACTATGTTTATAGTAACATTATCCAAAGCAAATTTTAACGTCTTGCTAGGTCGAGAATGGATCCATGGGGTAGGAGCTGTCCCTTCCACAGTGCACCAAAAGATTTTCTTTTGGAACGATGATGAAGGGAAGGAAGTCCTTGAGGCTAATCAAAAAATATATGAGGTAGGTATGTACTTTGTTGATCAATAATTAACGGCATTTGCAAAGACCAAGCCTTTTGATGCCTACAATGCTGGAGTGATTGATGACGAAGAGGGAGTTAAAAAGATTTTTTGTTGGGATGTAAAGAAAGGTTTTATGATTCGAGCCATAAAAGAGTCGGCTCCAATTGAAGAATGAAGGATGAAGATCCTTATTCAAGCTTCTTAGCTTGAATATTGGCCTACATAGCCGATCTAACGGCCAACATGGCCGAGGAAAGTCAAGATAGGGAGGTACATTCAAATGAAGTTGAGATTGATAAAAATAGCACGGCCACTTTGGCTGAAGAAAAAAAAAACAAAGAAAGAGGGTATAGATTTCGAGGTCAAAAAGAAAGAAGAAAAACAAAAAAAAAAGAAGAAAGGGGATATGGACTTCGAATTCGAAAAGAAAGAAAAAAAGAAAAAACAGAGAAGAGCCAAAGGAACTAGGTCATCTCGAAAGAAAAAGAAAAAGAAAAAATAGAAATTAAAATGGACCAGGAGGTCGAAAAGTTAAAAGAAGGCAAAGAGCAAGAGCCAGAACTCAAGTTAGATTGTATTTTCAATGATTCACCGTTGGGATTCGAAAGAGAAACCAAGGAAGAACATAAGTTAGAATCTCAAGATCCACTAGAGGAAATTAACTTGGGAACTCTTGAAAATAGAAAAGTAACTTATATTAGCAAGCTCTTGCAAGGAGAATTAAAGGAGGAATTAATTCGAGTACTGCACGATTATAAAGATTGCTTTGCATGGGATTATGATGAAATGCCGGGATTAGATCGAGGATTGGTGGAACATAGGTTACCCATGATTCCCGGAAAGAAACCTGTCAAGCAAAGCCCTCGAAGGTTCGCTGTTGAAGTAATCGAAAAGATCAAGGAAGAAATTGAGAGATTACTGAAAGCAAAGTTGATTAGAACTTCAAGATATGTTGAGTGGATATCGAATGTCGTGCCCGTTATAAAGAAGAATGGAAAACTCAGGGTATGCATTGATTTTTGAGATCTCAACACAGCAACCCCCAAAGATGAGTATCCTATGTCCGTCGCTAAAACTATGATAGACGTTGCTGCAGGTAATGAAATTATGAGTTTACTCGATGGTTATTCGGGATATAACCAAATTTATATTGCAGCTAACAATTTACGGAAAACTGCTTTTTGATGTCCAGGTGCGTTAGGCGTCTATGAATGGGTGATGATGCCATTTGGATTAAAGAACGCAGGTGCCACTTATCAGAGGGCAATAAATTTAATATTCCATGATTTAATTGGTAAGTTTGTACAAGTTTATATTGACGACATAATTGTTGGGTCGAAACAAAAGGAGGATCACTTATGCCATTTAAAATTATCTTTCGAGAGAATGAGAAAAGATGGTTTAAAAATGAATCCACTAAAATGTGCTTTTGGTGTTACAGCGGGAGAGTTCCTGGGATTTGTCATACACCAGAAAGGGATCGAAGTGGATAGAAACAAGACTAAAGCTATCATGGAGACTAAACATCCATCGAACAAAAAAGAACTTCAATCTCTCCTAGGTAAAGTAAATTTTCTGAGAAGATTTATGTCGAATTTATCTGGTAAAACTAAAGTGTTTTCTCCTCTTTTATGTTTGAAAAAGGAGCAAGAATTCAATGGAATGAAGAGCACCAGAAGGCGTTCGAGGAAATCAAAGAGTATTTGGCTCATCCTCTAGTGCTGGAACCACTCTCTAAAGGGAAGTAACTGAAGTTGTACATTTCAGCTAGCGATTTGACTATTGCGGGCATGCTGGCGCAAGATGTAACATCCCAAATTTTAGTCAATGAAAAGAAATATTTTTTTTATGTATTTATTTTATTTATGTATTTTACTATTCAGGAATTGTTGATCCCATTAGATTTTACATGTATTGAGGATTAGAAATATATATTTAATTTGTAAGAATGATGATCTGGGAGAGAGAATGAAATTATTGAAAAGTGCCTGTGAGTTAGGTTTTGAAATAATTGGGGGTTCTACCGTTATGTTAAGATTATATTAAATTGGTATCTATTTATTATTATATTAATTTATGAATGTTATTCTTATATTATTTGATAAAATTGATGATTTAAGTGAGGATTCATGGTGAATTACTTGAGGGTTATGTGAACCACCATTTTGTGTGAATTGTGTATGTATTGTGGAATTGAGATGTGGATGTTGATGTGGATGTGGATGTGGATGTGGATGTGGATGTGGATGTGGATGTGGATGTGGATGTG